TGACAGCAACATGCCAATTAACTATAATAGGTATAGTTAAGGTTTACCACTCCTCACTACCATTACTATGTTAATTATCACGGTTAGTGCTATTATGAGTAACTACATGTTATGTACTATACAAGAATAATACTATATGTTATACAAGAGAATACGAAACACATTATACCAAGAAGCACACTATACACTAATACAAGAGAACATACTAAAACAGAATGTGAGATACCATCTCTCTATATGACACTTTACTACGCCTTCACCGTGTAACCTTAGTCTCCTAGAGGAAGAGCAGGACCTACGCGTATATATCTATACAGGGCGGATACTCACACATCCCGACTGCTAGCTACAGTCCGAGCCGATTAGGCCCATGGATGATAACATGCTACCCCACTACATATGGCCTGGAGGGTCATGATTCATTCAATAGCCTGTCCACATGGTTACATACAGATTCACATTTGGAACCCTAAAGTAATAAATTATGAATTAAAGGTAAAGTAGACTCCCCGAGTTGTATTAAATGTATATATCACTACCTAGAGTCTGTGGTTAATTACCACCCAATCGACAGTAACACTGCTGGGATAATACATTATATTTCCCATTTACCTTGTTCAAACGAAGTCCAAACTATACTTTTTTAATTAAGAGTCTAATTGAGAAAAACTTTTACACACTCAAAGGATCCAACCTGCAAGTAACCAAGTCTTTGTAGAAGACTACTTTTATTAGAAAATATAGGATTTTCTAGAGATTCATGCCATTTTCAACCTTGATAACAACTTTCATGTTACATAATTGTAAATACTTTTATACAAGCAACAACACTAAATTCTTATGGACTCACCAGCTTTATGCTGATACTCATTTTCAAAATAACTTGTATTCTCAGGTTGGCAATAGATAGGTACAGGCACTGTTTTTGAGAAGACGGAGCGGATACAAGACTCCTCTTTATTTTGATTATACATTTTGGTATCTATAATTTGTACTAACACGCTTGTATTACAATTTCTATATTATTGAAGTGGATGTTGTTGCTTGTTTTTACTATTATGCATTGTTATGATACTGTACATGACGTCCTCCACTCGAGAACGTATTCCGCTATTCTTGGTTTTGGGGTGTGACAGAATGGTATCAGAGCCTTGTTTATAGTGAATCAAGTATATCAACCAACAAAAGATATACAAACTATAAACACTTCGGGACTAAAACACTCCGATCAAGAATATATACTTTTAAATACAAAAAAATTTAAGTAAGTATATATACTTACACATCCATTAACAAAAAAGGATAAGTATCATACTAGAACATAACAAAAGTATTATGATAGTTGGACAACACAATTGGGCTTAGAGACATATAGTCACATTTGGGCGGATGTAGCCTGATCAACTACATTTTCCTAGGGGTGACTAGCATGTGCCTAAGAGTGATTGTGGTGTTGCAACAAGTCTAAAAACTTACCAACACTACCACAAGAACATAGGAACAAGAATACTATAAGAGTATTCTACATTCTATTAACTACATATGTGATAACTAAAAGGGTCGTTATTAGTAGGGCAATAGTTGCTAAGTGGATACACCACAGTTACATGTGACTAAGGCGCTATAGACTTAGAATCTGTGACCTTTGCTTCATTTCCTATTCTTGTTTGATTGTGGACTTAGAGTTAGGGTCACTTATTCGAAGGTCCATGTTGCTACGGTTACATGTAATTGGTATGCACTATGCAAGTATTGGGTCGGCTAATAACGATCATCTTATAAGTAATCTAGATTAGTTCGTCTATTAACCTTTCTTTCCGCATTCTCGTGTAGATAGCATGGATGGCTTCCACCATCCCGAAGATCTGTACTATCCAAACCAAGGCATTGGAGGATGGCTCGAGGAAGATTCTTAAGATGATCATACGATCCATTTGGATGATCACCGTGCAGAAGGCTTTCCGCATAGCTCCGACTTCGAACCAGAAGTCAGCAACCTGCTCCCCGTAGCTCCGAACCCTAACCCCCATCTAGCATCCTAACCATTTTTAAATGTGTGGATTTTGCCAGAGATAAACAAAAAGTCCACATCCTAACCATTTTTAAATGTTGCAAAACGGCAAAGGGTCTAGGTGCCCATCGATGAAACAATTGTGACATTGTTTAGCATAATGAAAGAGTATTTTATTAAATAGGGAAGGGATTACCATAGACTTATTGATTTCATAAAAGCCAAAATATTTTGTTGGAGATGCCTCAAAGGCTACTAATTATTCTTGTTTCAACACACCATAATCAATGATCACAAAAAAAACTATAAATATAGCAATGTACTTTCATTTATTGTTCTATTACAACACTTTATTTTTTGTTTTTTCAACATACCTTAATCAATGATCATAGAAAAAACTACAAATATAGTGATGTATTTTAATTTTTCTTGTTATAGCATTTTATTTTCGATTTTTCTACCATACCATTGTATTTTAACACTTTTTCTTATTAACGAACTATACTTTGCAAAATCTACCAAATTATAGGAACGAAAATTGCTTTTGTATTTGAATGACATTACATAATTGAGAACATTTTTTAAAGTACAATGTTGAGATAACAAGTAGAATAACTACATGACAACCAAAACATAGGCAACCATTAGGAAATAAGTATATGACAACCATTGGGTAATAAGTTCAATAACTACATGATAACCAAAACATTCGGTGGGTCACTATTTTCACAAATAGCACCAAGATGAATCCATAACCATGAGAATCCACAACTAATGAGTATATGTCGTGATCCACCTAATAAATCCCGTATTAGAAAATTACCTAAAAAATAAATATAAGTTAGACTTTTCAAGTTACTTAATAAGAAAAACCCAAAATCACATTTTTTTTAGTAAAAACTAGAATGAAATTAAAGTAAGATGCTATAATAAACTAGTGAACAAAAGTATGTTGCTATTTCTTGATGTTAGCCGTATGAAAAAAAAATTGAAAGTACATTGTTATAACAACTAGAAGTTCCATACTAATAACATACAACTAAATAAATTACCTTAATATTTCTTTCATTTAGCCTTAGTTTTGAGATCCAATTCCACTGGTGAGAGAATGATCCATCTTTAGGTTTGAGATGTAACGTACTACTAGTTGAAGCTTCTCATAATCTATATTTCAGAAGAGTCTTCAAACATTTTTTTGGGTCTTATAATAAATATCATTTGTCTTATAAAAACTATGTCAGATCCATATTGATTCCACAACCTTAGCCCACTGAATGTTGTTGGCACTCTTGTACCTACAAAAAACATGTAATTCCACATGAAACATGTTCATATTATTGTTAAAAGTAATATATTAAACCCTAATGTATTTCTCAACTTACAAGGCACTAAAATATAAAAAATTCTAACCTCAAACCATATAAACACAAATACTAACTAGGTTAATTTGAAAATTATAACCGGAGTTAGGGGTTTGACTATCATTAAGGTCATGGATTTGAATGCATACCTTGTAATATCAAACTTTCTCAATGGTTTAAACTAATTGAATGCTTATTATTTTCTTCCTCTAAAAAAATCACAATAATATAAACTACAATTAATTATTCTACATACTAATTTGGGCACCATCTTATGAACAATGTCCGATATTAAGCCGACTTCAATACCACCATGCCTCAAGCTGAAGTTGCATGGATGGCACCGCCAACATCCTCCAATGAGATGTCTCCACTACTCTACTTCTCACGTCGCCAAATTTTTTTTGCCCATTCAGTCCATAAATTTTCGTAGGGTTTCAATCGTAATGTCGTTAAGTTAGGTTAGGGCTGTGTTTTGGAATTTATTGTTACTTTCATAGTTATGAAATGGGTGTTGATGTATTTTATCCGATGAAGATGAAGACTGTGTAATATTTATTTAGTATGCAAAGAAGAGATATAGGAAGGATCGGGTGGGGTGTACCCATAAATATTTATTTATTTATTTGTTTATTTTTATAATTTGAATAATAAGAAAATGCAAAACAAATGTAAAAAAAAGGTCAAACTAATCATTTTAACTTTTTTGGACTTTCTGTACAAATCAGAAAATTCCCGATATTAAGCCAACTTTTTTTTATAGTGTGAATAATAAAAAAAAGCAAAATAAATGTAAAAAAGAAATTAAAATATCAAACTAATTATTTCAACTTTTTTAGGATCAAATCCACTGAAAATTCCTTATTTTGGACTTTCCGTACAAATCATAAATTTTTTAGACTCCATCCACATTAAAAGATCAATTTTATTTATTGATATTAATCAACTCTTACTTACACTACAAGAATAGAGAGTATTAGCGGCGATAGACATCGCCGCTAAAAGTCTGACATGTCGCCGCTAATGTCTTTAGCAACAATGCCTCGTCTCTAATACTCTCAGAATCTCCGGTTAGCCGCTAATACTTCTCGTGTCACTACTAATACACGTATGTACAACGTGTCGTTTTTGAATTTTACATTTTTTATGAATTTAAATATTGTTATATATCAAATCAAAAAATTTCAATTTACAATTAGGCCCTAAAAGTAATTTTTTTAACAAAATTTTATGAACCTTTTTAAAGTTTATTTATTTATTTTTCAATTTACAGATTTTTTTAACCTACTTTTTAAAAGAAGTTTTAATTATTGGAGTTAAATACCAATTTATTATGAATCGATATGCAAGAGTGTATTTAAAAAAAATAGTAAGTTATATTTTTTTATTGCACTATTTATCATTGTACAATGTAGGATAGAATATACCCTAACCTATGACCCAAATTATTTTATTGTAAGAAGGTACGAAATGTTATTTTTAGGAGCAATACCACGAAAAAGTAATAAAATTATGAAGTTGAATAAAACTTCATAATTTCAATATGAAAATGAATGCTAGTCTGATTCACACTTGTCTCAATGTGTTCTAATTGCAATATATTTTCATTTCATGAAAACCATCAATGTGTTCTGATTGCAATATATTTTCATTTCATGAAAACCAATATTGGGATCAAAATAATACTCTTTATTACATCAATCAATAAATAGATCATAAATCGAAAGTCAAAACCACAATTGAACCAATCAAGTGGAAACACAAACCATATCATGCGAAACAGGCTTAAATACGAAATGTTGAGGATCCGCATAAAGAAAGATGACCGAAGCAAAAGGTTCAATAGGAAGACCACCATTAACAATAAACTTGTCATTCCCGATAGGTGCAAATACATTCGGATCAACATCCTCCAATGATTGGAAACCTTTGCATGACACAATAATGTCTTTTAGATTACATTTGCAATTGTTTACAAACATCACTTGCCATTCTTGTACATCTTGTATTTGTCTAGGAGTCTTTGATGTCGACACAGTTAAGTCTTTAAGTTGACACTGACCATGGCCTATGTGAGAAAGAAAGAGAACGAGAGGATATAGGTTATATCAGTAGAGTACATATAAAGAAACGAATAAGAGACAAAAATAAAACATTATGTGATCATCATTAGTTGTACCTTGGACAAGAAGAGTAAAGAAAATGATAGTAACGAGAGACTCAAATGTGGATGCCATTGTTGCAAATCGCAATGAAAATGAGGCTCTCTTGTTTTAGTGAGTATAAAGTGTTCATTGTATCCCTATTTATACAACTAAATGCATTATTTATACAACTAAATGCATTATCTAGCATTTATAGTATTGAAATCGGTTATGTAAGGAAAATCAGTTAAATATACATTAACGTGTTTATTGTAACTACTTAAGAGATTTTTAATAAATCTTATAAATTAAAATCAATCAAGTATCAATTAGTGATGAGGAGCCAATCAAGTAGCTAGGGTTAACCCATATCAAATGATCTATCAAATTCTACACCTGGTTACATTCCCTAGAGTATAGAGTTGATTAGATGATTAATTATTCTAACATTTCCTAATTTTTTTTTTATGAAAATGATATGTTTATTTCAAACATATTAACGATGTTGTGAATATATGATAATTGTTTAAGGACGCGAGTTAATCATATGACTAATTTTTACCAATGGATTGCCAAAGGAATACCAACGACCAAATTCGTTGCTAATTTGCCGACGACACAAAATCTCTAATGGAAGCAGGTTTGACCTCTTTATCAACCCATTTCCACCGGCACTTTTAGTGACGGACCGTCGATAATCTGTCTCTAAATGCTTTTTTTTAACAGTAAAAACTAATAATATTACAGTGTTTTTTGTACAAAATATTATAAACAAAAATCTCATTACATTAAACATTTATTAATATTGATAACTAATAAAATTACAATAAAACTAATAAACACGGTCTAATGTATTAAAATGGTATCAAATACATTACTAAGTGTTGCAATCATAAAATTAAGGATTATATGGTGCATTACCATATTGACTCATGGATTTTTTAAATGTAGTCATTTGTTGTTGAACTTGCCTCAAAGTCCCGTAATTATTCTTGTTTCATCACACAATAATCAATTATCACAAAAAATACAAATATAACAATGTATTTTCATTTATTTGTTTATTATAGCATCATATTTTCCTTTTTTCTACCATATCATAGTTATTTTTCAAGTTTTTTCTTATTAGCAAACTATACTTTGAAAAATCTACCCAATTATAGGAATGAAAATTGCTTTGTATTTGGATGACATTGCCATAACTAGGAACATTTTTGAAAGTACAATGCTATAAGTAACACGAAATGAAATTAGGAAATTATAATAAGCATGTATATGAACTTTTTTTTTGTGCTATCTTGAATTTTACCCAAAAAAGTATGTTGTCATCTGGTAATAAGTAGATGTTATAAGAAACAAATATACAAAAGTATGATTGTAATACCCCGTTTATTTATTTATTAAATAAGTAAAGTAATAAATACATAATAGCCCTAAAAGCGGAATAGTGTGGCAAGAAGTTAGTTACGGGGGTTAAAAAGTTATAATTGAAAGTTTAAGGGGCTAAAATACCATCATCAGGATTTAACTTGAATATATTTTGGGAAGGAGGGACTGTTTATGTCGTTATGGCATAATGTTTAGTAGTGTCGGGTATAAAAAATTGCTTCACCGGTTAGCAAACCCTAAACGCCCCCCTTATGTGCAGCCGTCACCCCACCTCCCTCCAGCCGTCACCCGTCCTTCTATCACCTCCGGCATCGCCTCCGTAACACTTCAGTGAGCCAAGAGCGACTGCCATCACGACTCCGACGAAGGGATCGAGCTCGACATCGGGGCTGATGTCGTTTTCTCAACCGTCGCCATAGATGATGAAGTCGGAGGCCACCATTGTTGTCGTTTGGTTCTTCCTCCACTGCTACCGACAACGGATCTCCTCTCCTCTCCGCTCCATTATGTGTTGCTGCTACGCCGCCACTTCGTCTCTTCTTCTTCTGTCGTCAAGATATCGCCGCCACTTCGTCTCTTCTTCTTCTATCGTCAAGATATCGCCGCCACCGCCTTATCGTGCAGCGGGTGCGACTGTGGATGGCGTTTCTCTCCGACTGTCGTGAGCCACCGTGGGGGTGGCAGTGATTGGGCGTGGTCATCTTGCTTGACTTGTGTTAGTGTGTGCGTATGCCTTCTATTGGCCGGAAAAACGTGGGAACCACCATGGCTTCCCACCATGGTGGCCATTTCCTTGCTGTCGCTGCAATCCGCCGTTCATTGCCACTAGAGTGTTGTTGCCGTTGCCACCCACCACAGGTGGGTGTTGGATTCATTTTGCAAGCAGAAATGCATATGGGTGTGTGATGGGTGATTTCATTTGGTCGAAAAACTGAAAAAAGCCACCACCACCGCCGTGAGGTGGTGGCTGCCGCTATGCACCACCGTCGGCCACCTCAAGGTGGTTTGTGTGTGTTTAATGTAGTTAGCGTGTGTTTATTTTTGGTTAAGGCATTGTAAAGTGTAATTAGCTAAAGTATAATGAAATGAAATTGAAAACCACCACCTTAGGGTGGTGGCTGCCGCTTCCTGCCGCCACCGGTCGCCGTGTCGGGTGGCGGTGTGCTTGCTATGTGAGTTTGATTCGTTTAGGGTGCTTGTAAACCCTAATGGGCCTTGTAAGCTCTAATGGACTCTAATGGACATAATAAAACCCTAATGGGCTTAATAATATTCTAGTGGTCTTAATAGGCCCAATAAAGCCCTAAATAACCTAAAAGTCCAACAAATTAATAATGGGCTAGTATTTGAGTTGGAAAAACCCTAATGCCAGTAAATCTTAATTTGGGGAATTAATCGGGTCACACACACGAGAATTATTTAATAACTTGAGATATTAAATAATAATCATTGGCAAACTAACATAAGGCATAATGGACTTAATGGATTAAGTCCTTAATGGGTTAAGAAAGAAACACCGAACCTTAATCATCATTTCATGTGAAAACTCTAATTTGGGATTATGGGCTTCGACTTATCGAGACCCACATTTGGGCTATTGGAATGGAATTGTGTGATTAAGCCCAATCACACCGTATGACTTATGTAGAAGAATGATGGACTTAATGGGTTAAGTAGGAAACTTAACCCTAATCGGCATTTTATGTGAAACCTTAACTTCACTTGGGTTTATTGTTGGGCCTTTCTATTTGGCCTTGATGATTAGATTATTAATGGGCCATCCAAGAATAATTATATGGACTAAAATAATTTAATGGACTTAGGGTAAGGCCCATGTAAGGGGTTTAGGCCTAATTTGGAAAATTGGGCCATAGATGGGCCATAGTTTGGACCTTAATAATTACATGATGTTGGGCCTCAGAATGAGACCATGTATAGGCCTAGGCCCAATTTGGAAAATTAGGCCATGTGTTGGGCCTTGGTTCCTAGTTGACTTTGGGCCTACAGATTTGGGCCTTGGGCTTGAATAAGCCAAGCTTGGGGTAATGTAATTATCCAAAGTAAGTGTTTATGGTTATATAGTGAGACCCAATTATTAATTGGGTGATGTTTTGATATTGACAGATCGGGAATCTGTCATCCAGTAGCTGGGGTTGAGTCTGCGGGATTTCAGCAAGTGTGGGATTGTGTCTTCGGGACTTCAGCAGTGTGAGGTGAGTTACCTTCCAGTAGCGGTGGGTCTAAGGCCACAATGCTGGCCCACCAGTAGGAGATGTATGATAGATGATTGTCTTTGTGATATCATCTAGGTTTGCAACTACCTGATATGTTATATGCTAGCATGATATGTTGTATGTGATAGTAGTAGAGTTCGGTTGTTAGGACCGAAGGGTAGTCAGACACCCCAGATACGTCTGACAGTATGTGATGATATGTTTGCATGCTGGCTCATTATGTTATATGCGATAGAGGTAGTAGGAGGGGACTAGTCCCCAAGTTCGGTTGTTAGGACCGAAGGGTAGTTCAGGCACCCCAAATATGTCTAATATTATGTTTGTGTTATGTTATATGTGATAGTAGTATTAGGGGTGAAATAGTCCCCAAGGTTCGGTTGTTAGGACCGAAGGGTAGTCAGCACCCCAGAATAGCTCGACATGGGTGCGTCAGCGCCCCAGAATGGCTTGACACGGGAAGGACGGCACCCCATAATGGACGTATGGGTAGGTCGGCACCCCAGAATGGCTGTACCGGGTAGGCCAAGCACCCCAGAAATGCCTGGCAGTATGTATGTGATATGATTTTATGGTATGTGGTATGATGGGGGAACTCAATAAGCTTTGTGCTTACGGTTTTCAGTTTTGGTTTCAGGTACTTCGTGTCTAAAGGAAAGGAGCCGGCTTGATCGCAGCTCATCACACTATGGTTTTCCGCACGTGAGATCTTTGGGATTACAGTCTGATATTATTTTATAATAACACGTTTGATTATTTCTACTTTGGTTTAGACAGGACATGATGTTACGGATGTTTTATCACACTGTTGGTTTTATAATGACATATTTTAAAATGAAATTTTTGGCCTGTATTTTTGCGATGTTACAATGATGCTATATCTAGCATTTAACACAAAAAAAAATTTGGTAATAAGTGGCATATCTATATGATAACCTAGACATTCAGTGGTTCATTGTCTTCACAAAGAGTACTTGGATGAAGCCATAACTATGAGGATACACAATTGATAAATGTAGGATGTGATCCACCTGATAAATCATGTATTAGAAAATTACCCTAAAAAGAAATATAAGTTAGACTTTTGACGATACTTAATAAGAACAACTAAAAATTACATTTCTCTAGTACAACTAGAAATAAATGAAAGTAAGAAGTTATAATAAATGAGTGAACGAAAGTATGTTGCTATTTCTTGCTGCTAGTCCTAAGAAAAAAATTGAAAGTACATTGTTATAACAACTAGAAGTACCATGCTATAACATACAACTAAAAGTGTACCTTGTTATTTCTTTCATTTAACCTTAGTTTTGACATCTAATTCGACATGTGAGAAAGGTCCACTTTTAGGCCGAAGATTTATTGTCCTACTAGTTGACGCTTCTCATAATTTATATTTCGAAAGAGTCTTCAAACATTTTGTTCAGGTTTGATACAATAAATCCTCTTTCTTATTAAAAAAACATGTTAATTTATATTTATTCGACACCATTAACCAACTTAAT